TAGAAGAAGGCGTGGATGCTGGCTGTTGCCCACCAGCGATGAGGCAGCAGTTGTGGCCGGGTGCCTCAGGAGCAGGCGTGTGGTGATAAGAGGGTGTGTGGATTCTTGTCAGGTGGCCCAGCAGCAATCTCTACTGCGATCTTTGGGATGGCGTGTTGTGAGTGCACCTGTTGAGGCGCAGGATGCGCATTCTTGATAGCAAAAATTGATAAACACAAAGTACCTATGTAGTAGCAGAACTGTTCAGGTTGGGATGTTTGAATCAGGTCGTGCAGGATCTCGGCAACAAAGTGCGGCTACAAGACTTTGCGCAGGCAATTCTTCAGCGTTCGGGCACAAATCATCACAGCTGCAAGCATTTTAATTAGTTTCAAACTGACTTCAAAGACTTGTGACGAATTCTGGTGATCCAAGACAATTGCAGTTCTTGATTTCTGCTTGCTTGCCAATTCTTGGAGCTGGGGCCGTTTACTTTCCTTCAAATGGACTGATTGGGATGAGCTTGCTTCCTCACCCCTGGGTGGGGCCACCCCTATATTGGCCCCATCGTCGGGCTTCGTTTTATCACCCTGCATTGTACATCACGAAAGCTAGCGTCAGCTAGCTGGAGTTGCTCTTGCTTTAGCAAGTCATTGGCTGGGCTGGGGGATGGAATGACCTCCCAGTGAATGATTCATGTGTAGACCCCCTGGACCGTATGCGCTGGTTCCGGTCAATATAGTTCCTCACAGTGACGATCAGTGGCTCGTGCCAGTCCTTGTCTTTACTAGGCAGGAGCAGGTCCTCATTAATGAGGTACTTAGCACTTGAAACGTTCTGTTTCCTTGAGGATTCAGGATGGTTTCCTGGGTTCTAAACGAAACCGTTCTTTGTAATTATAGTTCTCTTCGAACTCGGCCATGCCTTCTTCCGTTTCCCGGTAGGCCAAGAGGTTCGGATGCTTTTTGACATACCTCAAGTAGATGAGGATGAGGCAATTGCCGTCATGTATCGGTTCTCACTGGTCTCCCTCAACGGAATTGAGCCACTCCTCAGCTCTGATGTTTGACACAATGTTGCACGTGATGCGGTGTTCAATCGATCGGAGGCTATTCACGGCCGTTATAGGCCGGCTTCCAACACCTCGACACAGAGGGACGTGGTGAAGTCAGTGTCCCTTTTGCCGGTGAAATTGCACTGCGCGGCTAAATTGCACTCGCCGCAGATGACATCGCATTCTTCCGCTAGAGCGGTGTAGACAATGGATGTAAAGTTCTGCCTCACGATGTCATCATAGCCTCCCTGCTCCTTGTGGAGCATCTTGCTATATATTGATGTGGAAGTTGCAGGCGCGCAACTCATTGACATTCATTCTGCACAGGTCGGACCGGTTAGCCGGTTGGAAGAACGGACTGTTCCTGTCATTATCTGATCCTGGGAAAATGATGCTCTCATCGAGCTCCGGGATTGGTTCCTTTTCTTGATCCCAGCTCGTGTCGATGTATTGATGGTGCAGTGCTGTTGACCATAGCGGTTCACGCATCGATTCAAGACCTCGCCCAATTCCTTCCTGCGGCACCTCGAGATCAATGACTTGCTCCGTGCGCTCGTCAAGCTCCTCCTGCGACATTCGTTCGCTGGCTATGTGTTGTCTACAGTTGTATTGGAATCCAGGAGGCCATAGCGAATCCGAACGATAATGGCATGAGAAAGCCACATTTGGTGGTGTACTCTTCGGTTCGCTCTTTTTACGATGTGCGGATTGCAAGTGGTGAGCAACTCAAAGAATGTTGATTCATCGCCTCTGGCTACACCGCCAGAGCGGGTGCACGGGTCCTTGAGTGTACTACCACTGGGTTCCAATAGTTCGGTGGATTTTTCACAATTCTTTAGCAACTTGTAACAACCCATGCCTCCAGAACGACCCAGCTCGCCCAAAAAACTCCAATATTCGCACCCGTACTGGATCGCATATTGTCCGATGCCTTCTCAGCATCCTGCCACGTTATACCTGAAAGGTAGGCGGCCTTGTTCACCAAAAGGTTCCATTGAAGCTCGCAATAGCTTTCCCACAGACCGCGTTCAGAGCTGCGACTGAGACGGAACAAACCGCTAGCCGCTAGGGCGGTCAATTGGAAGGTGAACGGATGTGACCTCCAGCGCCTGTAGCTTCTTGTTCCTAATAGTAAGGCCAGGAGCCCCTAGTAGCTTCT